TGGCATTCAAACACCATCTCCACCTTTCGTTCCCATTCAAGATAAGCTTCAGCATCATTCCTTCCATTGAAAGAAGGAATCTCCATGCGGAAGTTACCAAGGTCATCATCCAAACGATCCCTTGCTTGTCTTGCATGTCGTCGTTGTCTTGGAGCGGGAACGTTCCAACCCCCAACCCCGTTAGATAAACCGTGCAAGTGTAAACGAAGACAAAATATTCAATGTAAGGAAAACACGTTTTTTTTTCTCTTCTTTTTTTGCAAGACGAAATCAACTTTTTTTTTTCTTCTCTCTTTTTTTTAAGCTCTTTTTTTTCTTTTTTTTTCTTCGATTCTTTTTTTTTCTTTTTCACTTGTATATCTCTTCTTCTTTTTTTTTGCTGATTTTTTTTTCGTTTTTCTTTTAAACCTTCAAAAACAAAGAGAAATGATTAAAAACAAATATGATGAAAATGTAAAATGAAATGGAAAAGATAAATAGATATAGATAAAACCTAATGTAGAGAAACGAGGCTCTGATACCAAATGATACGAACCCGGATCGACGAATCTCAGAATTAGGTAAGAAGGATAGTAGATGGATATTCAAAAACCCACTAATCGACACGTGAACCGAACCTAGGACTTGTTCCAGTCACAAGAACGCCCTAAACCCAATCCAGACCCGGTTAGAGAACCTTTGAAACGAGCGAAGACGCTACAAACACCTGGTGGTAAAAGTGTTTGATAAGTCAAAAGAACACTACCTCAAACCTTACGAAGTTTAGAGTTAGTACTCAAGAACATAAGAAGAAACCTCTCAATTCAATAATCTGAGTTTTACATGATAGATGCTCCCTTTTTATAAGGAAAGGAAACATTGAAAAACTAAGAAAAATAAAAGAGTTTGCTGAAAACATAGGAAACTAAAAACAAGGCAATTATAGTTCCAATGTAGTCAAAAAATGACCACATTTATTGCACAATGACCAGAATTCGTAGCTCCTTTTCTTCCATGTTTTCCAAGCACTCTTTTGGGCTTATTTTACTTCATTTGGGCTGATTTGGGCCCCAAGTAAGTTAACCAAAGCATAGGCTTGAGTTTGGGCTGATCCCATTTGATTTTGAAGCCCAAACTCTTCTTGAAGTAGCATTGTAAATGTTTCCTTCAATCTCTTTGCCTTAGAGCGAGTCATGGGACCGTCATTCTTCAATTTCTGTTCTAAGAGCTCCTTTTGATCCGCTTGAGAATCTCCTGCTCCCGTTCTCTTGTCGTCTCTCCCGTGCTTCCCGATGTCCTCATCAGTAAAGGTCCTCGGTTCCGCATCAGTTGGTATCAGAGCTCATCTCTAATCTAGGTTTTATCTATCCTTTATCTTTTCAATTCGTTCTTTTCATTTCTATCTTCTTCCTACTCATTTATCTTCTTTCAAAGTTTGCATTTGTGAAAAGTTTAAAAAAAAAAAAGAGAGTAAAAAAAACAAAACAAAAAAAAAATCAGGAGAAAAAAAAAGAAAGTAAAAAAAAAGAAAAAAAAAAGTCATTTTACACCTCCTTGCTACGTTTTTGAATTGGTTTTCGATCGTGTTACATCTTCTTACGTTTTATTCTTTGGTTTCTCTTCTAAATTGTTGCGGAGAAGATTTTCGATCTTGTTTGATAATAGTTCAATAAGAACCATATTGAGAGTACTAAAGAGGGGTAAAAGGTAAGAGTGTGTGAGATCATCAGAGGATAAAAGCCGAAATTTGAGTGAAACACTTTTTAAGTGAAACACTTGAGTGTGGTGACATTATTTTTCTTTCTTCTTTCTTCTTATCTCCTTTTGCAGAAACATGGCGGATGAACAAAATCGCAATCTAAACAATCAACAACATGGAGAAACAAACCCACTTCAAATGCAAATATTGATGGGCAAGCTACAAAAAATCATGCGAGCTGAATTTAAGGTCATACATCAAAGGTTGGATCGTATGGAAGGATGGTTTGATTCAGATATACAAAATATGACCAAATCCAAAGTTTTGAAACCAAGATACCAAGGTACATCTGAAATTTCTCAGCCACAAGCCCGAGATATTATATGTTATATGTGTTTGGGTCGAGGACACTCTGGTGGTGAATGTACAAATTGGCAATCAAAGGGTCTTCGTGATGGTGGTGAGATCAAGACCAAAGTTGCAGTTCAACCGGAGTCAAGTGCAACCGAACATATGCTTGATGAACAAAAAACTTCAGGTGGTTGTATTGATGTGAAGAAAGATAAATTGGAAGAGCCAACATTCCTGCATCCTAAACCTTGGTTGGATGTTGGAGAAGTGTTTTTTGAAGCCAATACAAAGTCAGATGTATCTGAAGATAACCTTGTCAGGATTGATGATGTCATTGCAACTCGGAAAGATGCATCTCAACGTAAGGTTGACGAATCAATCGATCTTATTATCGGAGAAAGCAATCTAGGCAACAAACCAGAAGAGGAAATTCAAAAACTGATAAGAAGTGTCGAGAATGGAGATGCAAAGAATGATTTTTTGCTCATCAAATATAGGCATACAAAGGATTCTTCAACTGTTATGAAGTTTGGTATCGTATCCCTAAACTTTGACTTGTACCAAAATACCATATTTGATCCTCGAATTGAAAAGCGTAGGAGACGATATGCAAGACAAGCTCACAACGGAAGGAAGGAGATTCCTGATTTGAGGACAAATCATTTTCAAGAGAAGGGGAATGTGATCATCAGTAGCAATATGGATCATCTCGTCTTCTCGACTGGACCAATGACGATATCAAAATCAAGGGAACTCCAAGCTGCTGTAAATGGCCTTTTTCTTGAATATTTAGGCCAAAGATACATGGGAAATCATCTTGGATCAAGTCATATCCAAGTCCAGCTCATTTTCAACATGGTTTCAAGTGTGGAGAGCCCAAAATGAAGGCCCAAATGTTGCAGCCCAAGTCCATGACGAAAATCACTAAGGAATCTGCAAGTTCAAGTCTTCATGATGATTCCAAGGCATTCAAAATCAAGTCCGCCACATTTATGGCTTTGTTTTCCGATATTCCCAAAATTCTAGGAAGAATACATTTAATTCTAGTCTTTATGTCTTTTGGATTTCTTTTACTTCTCCTATAAATAGGTGAGCTAATCTCACTTGTAAGAACACATCCTTGATCAATAAACTTGTGAGAGTATTCTCTTTTAGTTCTTTGTGAACTGTTTTTGAACTTATCGGATTTCTATCTGTGGCGTTCACCCGACTTATCAAACGGACAGTCATAACCGTTTGTGGCGTCTTCACTATACCAAGGTTGCTAATCACGGTGTTAGGTCTAGGTCGAGGCAGTCTTTTAGACTTGTGCCAAGGTTGATTCCTACCGGTTGGTTAGAGGTCGCGGTCTCCACCTGCCTAATTAGAGTAAAGGTCCTCGGTTCCGCATCACTTAGAGTGCACCGAAACAGGTTTAGAGTGCATCCAAACATATTTAGAGTGCATCCAAACACACTTAGAGTGCGTCCAAACACGTTTAGAGTGCGTCCAAACACTTTTAGAGTGCATCCAAACATGTTTAGAGTGCATCGAAACATTTTTAGAGTGTGTCGATGCATATTTAGAGTGCGTCGAAACATGTTTTGAGTGCATCGAAACATGTTTAAAGTGCATTAAAGTATACTTAGAGTGTTTTCAAACACGTTTAGAGTGCGTCCAAACACTTTTAGAGTGCATCCAAACATGTTTAGAGTGCATTGAAACAATTTTTAGAGTGCGTCGAAACATGTTTAGAGTGCGTTGAAACATGTTTTGAGTGCAACAAAAGATGTTTAGAGTTTGTCGAAACATGTTTAAAGCACGTCAAAACATATTCACAGCGCATCCAAACATGTTTAAAGTGCGTCGAAACATATTAAGAGTGCATACAAACATGATTAGAGTACATTAAAACAATTTTAGAGTGCGTCGAAACATGTTTAGAGTTCGTCTAAACATGTCTTGAGGGCAATAAAACACGTTTAGAGTGCATCAAAAAATGTTTAGATTGTGTCAAAACATACTTAGAGTGCATACAAACATGATTAGAGTGCATTAAAACATATTTAGAATGCGTCGAAACATGTTTAGAGTTCGTCTAAACATGTTTTGAGGGCAATAAAACATGTTAAGAGTGCATCAAAACATGTTTAGAGTGCATGCAAACATGTTTAGAGTGCATCGAAACATGTTTAGAGTGCATGCAAACATGTTTAGAGTGCATCGAAACATTTTGAGAGTGCGTCGAAACATGTTTAGAGTGTGTCTAAACATGTTTTGAGGGCAATAAAACACGTTTAGAGTGCATCAAAAAATGTTTAGATTGTATCA